TTCTTGGGATGTGCCCCAAACCAAGGTAAAAGAGGGACAAAAAGCAGCAGGAATTTGTACCTGGAAAGGCTGAGCTGCCCCATTCCCAAGGAAAAGCAGGATTTCCCAAGGAAATCCTTGGGAAATCCAAGGAAGCAGCTATTTTTCCCATATTTTTTGAATCCAGGCTCTTCCACGGACATCCAATCCTGCTGACATTCCAACCTCTCCACCCGACCTGTGGATCAGCATTCCTGGCAAAACAGCAATTCCAAAGAAACCCCAAAGCAAAACCCTTAAATTGCACTTTAATTGGATTTTCCAGAGCGTTATTAGGAAATGTTTCCAATCAAGGAGTAAATTGGGATTGTAATAAAATATTCCATAAATATTTACATTGGCCCTGGCTCCACTTGAAAAGCAGGGATATTTTTCCCTCTTGGACACGCTGCCAAAGGAGCCGTTTGGTAAAGCAAGATCCCAAAATCGCTTTGTTCCCATCCAGGAATGATCAGAGGAGGTTTTCCCCCCAAATTCCACCCGAAAACATTCCCAGGTGCATCCCAGGTAAGTCTTGGGGTCCAAATGGGATGAGCAGAGGGAGGAGAGGAGGGAAAAATCTCCAAAGCTGCTGCACATCCCAAGGAATTTACGGGCTGTGTGGGGTGGGCAGGGCTCCAGCTCCATCTAATCTGGATCCAGATCCAAGGGAACCGTCTGGTTCCACGGGATGAGGCTTTAATCAGGTGTGGATCAAGGAATTTCCCAGGAATAATTCAAGCCAGGCTTTGTTTATTGCTCCCCCCGTGACCCCCTCGTGCCATATTGAACCCGTTACCTGCTGATATCCCAGGATTCAAGAGGGATTAGGGAAAATTTTCCTGCTTTTCCAAATAAGCTGCTCTGTCTGTTGGAGCACAGAGGAAGGGGAGGTTTTTTTTCCAGCTTGGAAAAAAACACAGCTGGATGAATGGGAAGGGTTAGGAAAACACTGCTAGGGCAGGGATGAGCAATCCATGGATTAATCAATCCCAGGGAAGCAGAGCTGGAGAGGGATGGGGATGCTCAGGGGTCATGGCCAAGCAGGAGGATACTCATCCAGAATATCCACATTGGAGGGAAACCTAGGAAAAATCAGGACAGGCCTCCCAGAGAAGCTGTGGATGAATCCTTGGAAGTGTCCAAAACCAGGCTGGATGGGAATTGGAACAACCTGGGAGTGTCCAAAATCAGGCTGGATGGGAATTGGAACAACCTGGGAGTGTCCAAAATCAGGCTGGATGGGAATTGGAACAACCTGGGATAGGGGAAGGAGTCCCTGCCCATGGCAGGGATGGAATTGGATGGGATCGAAGGTTTAGGAGCAAAAATCAGGAGCCCAGGATTTGAGAACAAAAATCAGGGTGTCAGATTTAGGAAGGAAAATGAGAAAATTCAAGGATTAGGAAGAAAAACAAGGAGCCCAGGGTTTAGGAGAGAAGATCAGGATTCCAGATCTAGGAACAAAATATAGGAGCCAAAAGTTTAGGAATAAAAATTAGGAGCCCAAGCTCTGTGAGGAAAAATTTGGAGCCCAGACTTGGGAGGAAAAATTCCAAGCCCAAGATTCAGGAACAAAACTTAGGAGCAAAAATCAGGGGCCAAGAATTAAAATTGGTATTCCAGAGTGCAAAAGCCTGGAAAACCCAATGGAAGCGGCTGGGAAAACAAGGAGCAGGGAGGAATCCCAGGTGGAAAATTTGGAATTCCAGTGAGCCCTTGGAGCTGCCAGTGGCACCAGGAGTTTCCCGGTGCTCTGTTCCCATGGAGCAGCCCCTTGGCAGCTCCCAACAGCTGAGGATATTCCCATTTTCTCCGTCCTTTCCATAATTCCAAGGGACGGAACCAATTGGCTCCGCCAGTGCTGAGGCACGGGAGCCGACAGCGCCGCTTCCCATTCGGATTATTTCTGGGAATTCACTCCGGGATGGCTCCGGCTGGCATTCCCAGCTCCCGACTCCCTGGAACAATCTGCTGCTTCCCGAGAGTTCAGGGAATGTGGGATAAGGCGGGATGGGGACATTGATTGGCACCAAGGAGAAATCCTACTGGATTTCGGGAATTCGGGATTCATGTAAAGAAATCCTACCGGGAATGAAGGTTTGGGATGGGATTTTAGGAAAAGAGTGGAATTCCAGGCAAGGGCCACTTGGCTGGAATGTGAAAATCATTCCCAGCGTCTCTGGGACACTCAAAGGCATTTTAAGGACACTGGGGACAAATCCACGGATGGGAATGTCATGGAATGCTGTGGGTGGGAAGGGATTACATCCCATCCCATTCCATGGGCAGGGAACCTCCCGCTATCCCAGGCTGCTCCAACCTGGCCTGGAACATTCCAGGGATCCAGAGGCAGCCACAGCTTCTCTGGGAATTCCACCCCAGCCCCTCCCAGGGGACAATCCCAGTATCCCATCTAAATTCCCTTTTCCTTTCCCTGTGTCCTGTCCCTCCATCCCTTGTTCCAGGGAACTCCTTTTTCCTGCTTGTTTTTTCCAGGATGAGAGAAAGAGCATTCCCAGCTGGAATGCTGGGATGTGGCTGGATGGAATTTGGGGACACGAAGGTGGGAAGAGCCAGAGCAGGATTGACTCTGGAATGATCCCTTCCCATGGAATGGGATCAAACCCGCGCTCCATCCATGGAATGCTGGGAACGAGCTGGGATTCGCTGCTGATCCAAGGAGGCTTTTCCATGGTTTGCTGGAAAACAGGGATGGGAATCCCGGTCCCACACTGACACCTCATGGAAAAAGCGCTCGTTGCAATTCCAGTGCTCCGGAGATGGATTTTTGGGATAAACGCTTGGATTTTGCTGCCCACTTTGTCCTGATAAAGGTGGTTGGGATAAAGGGATATTTCCCCTGAAATTAAAGGGATTAAAGGGACAGGATCTGCCTGGGAAAACCTGGAGATCTTGGAGCTGCAAATCCAACATTTCCCCTCCAACTTACCCCATCTGCTGGGGCTTTGGAGGAAAATAAAATAAATAAAAGTAAAAACAGAAATAAAATCAGAATTAAAAT